AAAACCCAAAACTCAAATGAGTGTTTTAATGGCATTATATGGCAGAGAGTACCGAAAGAAGTTTTCATGTGCCTCAAAACTTTAAAATCTGGTGCATTGGATGCTGTTATACAATTTAATGATGGGTACAAGGATTGTGTTGCCATTTTAAAAAAACTTAATATAACTCCTGGTTATTTTACTTTAAAATCGTACAAACATCTTGACGTAAAAAGAATTAACGATGCAGAACGTCATTCAACACCAAATGTAAAGCAGCGTAGAAAAATTTTAAAAGCAACCAGGGAAAAAAATCAATGTTTTAGAGAATGAAGAGGTTGTTATTTATAAATCAGGGGCATTTTAAGTATATCTAATTGTGTTTAATATTAAAATTGTATTTTAAAGTTTCTTTCTGATTTATCTCAAAATGCATTTTTTAACGTATTGGCATCTGACAACGTAAATATCAGAAAAAGTTGTGAAACAAATTAGTTTAAATTTTACAAGTACATTTATTTTATAGATTTAAAGAACCCCTACCATTTCCATGTTTATAGAGTTGATATGTTTTAGTAACTAAGGTGCATATCATGTCTCGTAATAATTTTTTAGTGATTTTTCAATGTTCTTTTACTTGAACCGTGATAAAATTGTAATAATTTGTATATTAGAAAATGTTATGATGATCAACATCAAATTTACAGAAAAGTGATATTTTGTTTTCATTTTGAGTTATGTGCGTGTTAACAATGAATTTAATTACAAAATTTCCCTATACTTTCTCCTAAATTTTTGTGCTATAAATTAAAATATTAAATGTATTTTCATAGTTTTAAAGTTATGTTTCATCAGTAAAAATATTTTAATAGCAAATATAACAGGTTTTCAAAAAAATTTTCTTCGAAGGTGTACAGATACCTTAACATGGCTAGTTCATCAAAAAAAAAATGTGCAAGATAGTTTGTGTAACAGAAAATTTCAAACTTGGTGAACTGAGAAATATAGCATGATTAGTACAGGCGACAAAGCGCTGTTTGTTTTATGATCTGGAACGGTTGTATGCTGAACATCATCTGTAAAACGGATTCCAGACACATTTAACTGTTTTAAGAAGCTGGCTCATGCTATTTTAACCCTATTTTCATTTACCTATGCTTGCAAGTCATTATTTTCAGAGATGAATAACATTAAAGACTCACTTGGAAACCGTTTGGCAGATGATTCCAATTCAGCATGCATTCTGCTAAAAGTAGCATCTTTCATTTCTAATATGTTATTTGTCTTCTAAATCTGCAAAAACAGAAGTCACACTAATGTTACTTTAAGTTGAATCACACGTATAGCTAAAACATCTACTACTATACAGTGCAAAATGTATTCTTTCGCAGTAAATAAAGAGTTTTGATTTGTTAGTAAGTAGTTTTATTATTTTCTCAATAATCTTAAGTCAAAAAATTATTTGACGGCACGTCTGTACCTCATTAAACATTTCTTTAAAAAAAATGGCACGTTGATCTATAAAGGTTCACCACCCCAGATCTAGGCAATCGGCACTCATTAAAGGCCTTTGAGCTTTAACAGTAACATATAAAGGATGATTGAACTTATTATTGTGGAGGGAGTATCTCTCTCTCTATTAACGTTGCACTTAAAACACTACGGGGCTATGGGAGACGGAACTAGTCTTTTTTAACCATGAGGGTCCTAGTCACCCTCAAGTGACAAGGAAGCCTAAGCTGGCAGTCCCTGTCTGAACTTCCACACTACACCTTAGGAATACTTTGAGCCTCACCTATAAATTTCCACTCAACATGCGTCATTTTGCAACAAGTGCAGGTAGAGAAAAGAGACAAAAGAATTCCCACATACTCTCAAATAAAAAAAATACAATGGAAAAAATAATAGGGATGGTATAATCACACACACGTGGATAAGTGAATGGAAATAGTACTTATTTTTAGAAACATTGTAGGCGGTTGTAGACATGAATTCAAGGAAGATGTTTGAAGAGACAGTCGTGTCCAGTAGCCGGACAAAATTTGGCAATTGCTTTACGTCTTGGCCACATGGGAAGATCTTATTGGAATTTCTCTCTGTTTATTGAAATTTCAGAAATATTGGGAATTTGGTATTTCGTGTAAGGTATCTGGATTATTAAATTCTTTTAAACAATTCAAGTTCCTATACTCCATTATTATTTGGTATAAAATATTAAACTGCATAAGTGCATTAAGCAAGCTATTTCAGACAAAAGACTACAGTCTATCATCTGCTATAGAATTTTAAAAATTCTAAGGATTCTTTTAAGAATCTTCGATCGGATGTGGATTTTGATGAAATACTCTGTGATGCAAAAAAACTAGCCGAAGAGAATGAGATTGCTGCTAATATTGAGGTGAATAATTTTTATCTTTTTTAATAATAATTCTTTTTGTTTGGGAAGAGGAGCGACATTTTTCATTTTTATCCGGGGCGACAAAATTGCTAGAGCCGGCCCTGACACCATTCAAAATTATTTTACAGTTACTTTAAAAACCTTTTCAAATCCTTAATAAAAAAGGCATTAGTTCTTTTCAGTTCCCGCTATTCAGTCGATATTATTCAAAGAGAAAATATTAACTGCTCATTGGTGCATATGTCTAATATATAAAAGCCGCATGAAAATGAATACACGTGTAAGATAAACAAGTCTTGGCATTTAGACTTTTAAAGAATCTGATTAAATTAATGCGAAATAAAATTCAGTTTTACCAAAAGAGGTGTAAATATACTTCAGTAATATAATATTTATTTATGTAAGACTTCGTAATTTAAAGTGTTTCTCAGAATTCAAAACAAAATTAATCCCCCTTCCTAGAACTAGAGAATACTTTCGCAGCAAAACGTTTTAGTTCAATTACTTTGAGGTTCTAAGTGGGAGTGTAGGATTAAATTAAACTGCTTAAAAGTTTCCTGGCAGCTTGCGCCTTCGATTGAATGTCTTAATATTGAATCTCTTTGTGTCTGTTTCTTTATTAAGTGTGAAATAGAAGTTTTCTTATTAGTACAAATCCCTATTAGCCGAACATTTCGTAGGTTTCTCTTCACTCTAATCTTATTTTATATTATTTGATTTATTTAATATTCACAATGGTACTATTCCAATTACTTGCATTTAAAAGCAAAATAAAATATCATCATTTGCAATTCGCTTGGGTTACTATTTTACACGTAAACTTTTCCATAACTGTGTATGTTATCTGAAAGAATTATATTAGCTTGTTAGTATTCTATCTGGGTTCTAATTTTATATAATATGAAATTAAATGCATGATAAGCATGTACAAATTTTTGTACTTCTTCGAAAATTACCCTGAAGTTTTATGAAGTTATTTTTGAACATTCATTAGGTGTACAAAGATTCGTGTAACAGAATTAGATCTGAAGAAAGTGTAGAAAGAGGGAGGGGTTTGTTTCTGAAAGGATTCGATGCTTTTTTCTTCTTTTATTGCTTTAACCTCAGATGCGCTCAAATATTTTGAAACTCGGTCAGAAAAGTACTCAAACTTAGTCGCAAAACCATTAAAAGAGACGGTAACTCCTATTTATAAAGATGGAGTAGATAACAAGATATATGAGTTTCTCTTGAAGAACTCAGCATTTCTCTCTCGTACCATTTTTAATTTTTTAAGAACATTTTTTTCCCTTCAAGTCACACATTGTTTTAATGCTTCAAAATTGTTGTAAAAAGAATTATCTATTTAAAGTTACGATGAACATTTGTAATTACCTTAATTATCTTAACTGGTATAATTTCCATACATTATTTATTTCTTAAGTGTAAGTTTTTGAGTTTGTTAACAGTGCCAATTAACTATTTAAAGTTATCATGTGCTTCCCAGTTTCTATGATGTATAGATTGCACAGCAATTAAACTTTTGTAAATTACTTTTTCAGTATTTTGTAATTTGATGAAAGGTATTTGTATAAACATGTATTGTAAGTTTCTTATCTTAAAAACATGCTTAAAAGAATATGAGACTCAAAAGGATGAAATCCTGACGTTTTGTTTCATCTTCCTAAAATTCATCAAAAAATTTTAATGCTTCTTATATTATACAGAAAATTTGTTTGAAAAGTATTAATGATATTTTTGAATAAATAAAGCATTTCACTTCTTTTCACGTCTAAATAATTTTCACTTTGTACTGTATAATTTTAAATTATATGTTCATAATTTTTCACTCAATATTTAGAAAAAAATTAAATGCGGATGTTTTATTGTGAATTATTAAGGTATGTGACTACTCTCTGAAACTTTCGGAGTGTGACTACTTTCTATGATATTTTTTTAATATTCATCGTCACCTGAATTAGAATATGCATATAAAATTGTTTTAAGAATATTACTACAATGAAAAATTATTTAAATATAATTTTTGGTGAAAAATGAAGACAAAATAATATATTTTTAAAATAATCTCCTTTTAAGGAAAAGCTTCTATAATAACAATAGTTTGCAAATATATAGCTAAGAATTCTGTAAAGACCATGACCCAATATTTAATATAACATGAAATATATAACTTGCAAGTGTATTTATTCATATTTTAATACATCAAAATAGAGAAATTTTAACAAAAATAGACAGCTATTGTTTCAATTGATAGTAACTCTGAATTTCCAAAAATCCTATGAACGGGTTTTGCTTCCAAGGGGATTTACATGAGTGTTACAGATAAACAAGTAATATAAAAAAAATTAAACCAATTCCTACTCAGGTCAACAAAAAAAAATTTATTTTTGTTACTGATTATTAAATATTTACAATTAATATAAATATGCAAATACATATGACAGAATCAGAGTATTAAGTGATAAAATAAAAAGCGATTTTCCAAGGAATTTTCCATTTTTTTTTTCTATATTTGTGGTGTTGGACTTTTTTGTTTGTTTGTTACTATTTATTCGTTAATTAAATTTAATTATTCTAATATATTAGTATAGTAAAAAAGAAATCACATTCTCAGAAATTAAGCCATACCAGATAAAACTCGAATCTGTGACCTTTGGATTACAAGTCCAACGTGCTATCCATTGCACTATAGGAACACACCGAACGGCTTTATTTTCTATATATGCTGTAGGACTATTATTTTTGTTTGTTACTATTTATTCCTTTTTTAATTTAATTAATGAATTAATATTTGAAAAACTATATTAGCATCAAGTGTCATCCACTTCAATTTCAAAAAAATGTATTTGAACTTGAATGGATGAATATAAAGCATTTTATTAACGATTGAAAATTTGAACAAGATATATATATATATATATAGTGGAAGAGTGAATGAATAGTAGGAATTGAAATATGAGCGTATTCACTTCATTTATTTTCTTAAAATCATTGTATTTTTTAAATGGTTCCCTTATCATTTATTAACTTGAAAAATATTATAACTGTTATTCTTAATTATTTTAGAACATTCATCCTCTCATTCGTACCAGTCAAGTCTCCTTAAGTTCTAACGTAGAAGGTGACTTCCGATATACCACCATTTTCACTACAGTCGGCATCTACAAAGGACGAATGCTGGCAGTGAAACGGTTTAAGAAAAAAAGCATCGATATAACTCGGAAAATGAAAAAGGAATTGAAAGTGGTAAGCAGTTCCTTCATTAGCAACAGTTAATTACATTTTTTTTCTCAACATATCACTTTTCATATGTACACAGCTTAAAAGTTAAAATACAGCATTGCTAATGCCAGGTTAATAAGTGATGATAATCACAAATAGAGAAAGACAGCATCGATAAATAAGTAATGTGTATGACGGCGAATAGAACTCGGAACCTTCTGATCTGTAAGCACGTTCTGTACCACCGGACCAAAATGATCACTTCAGTTCGAGGCTGTTTCAGACTTTTATAGATAACCCCGCCACACACTTCCCTACTAATGAGTCGGTAGGGGAACGAATGATATAGTTATTATGGCGAGCGTGTGAGTTGTGTTGCGTCAAGTGTGTCTGACGGCTTGTTTGTTGCGTCATGTGGATCTGGCGGCTTTTTTATTGCTTTTGCAGCGGGTTGATGGTGCAGCGATGGTTGCGTTTTTTCAAAGTTCAGCCAGGGTCACCAAAGAGGGTAGAACTCGGCATCTTCTGCTCTGTGAGCAAGTGACTTGCAACTGGACCAAAATGATCACTCGAGTCCGGAGGTTGTTACAGGCTTATATAGATACCAGCGCCACATGTATTTCAACATTATGAAACAATACAATCAGTGATACTAGGGGATCAATAGGTTATAAGTCCACTGCAGGGGACGATTTAATGGTACAAGGTCTGTTCAAAAAGTATCCGACCTAGAATTTTCTCTCTCATATTAGAAATTCAAAAACGGTGTCACTGTGCACAGTGGGAGGTGATATCTTAACGCACATGCTTAAATTTTTCCTTTCGTTCCGGTGTACCAGTAATTTTCTGCAGGCAGTCGGGTGAGGTGCTGTTATAAGTGTGTCGGAATTTTACTTCTCTAAAGAGTGCGACTTAAAGCAGAAGAATTGCATCAGTTTTTTTATCAAAAAATATGGTGATTTTCTAAGTGAAACAATTCGTAAGATTCAGCAAGTGTTTGTAGACGATGTTAAGGAGGTCACACAAATTAAGGAGGGGCTTACCCGATGATTCAAAAATGGCCGCTCGTCGGTAGAGAGTGAACAGGGTTCTGGGAGAACACAAACCGCTCGAAATGCAGCTATTGTTGAAAAGGTGTAAATTATGATAGTAAAAGATCGTCGTTTGACAGCACGAGAAACTTCTGCATAAGTTGATATCAGTATTGGTTCTGTGCATACAATTTTGTGTGATAATGCTCAGAGTGGCTGGGAAATTTGTTCCCAAGCTTCTGTCAGTGAAACAGAAAAACTGCGTGATGTAGTTGCACAGGACCTACTAAACACTATCAACGTTAAGCCTGACTTCTTACGACTTTTGACTGTTACTGAAAATGAAAATACCATTGAAAGGGTCCCATTTTGAATAGAGATAAGATAAAGCACAACGCGAAAGCGGAGTTGAACACTATTCCGAAAAAGGTCTTCCCTAAGTGTCTTCAGCAATGGAAGGAATGCTGGACTGTGTGAAAGTACTAGGGGCCTATTTTGATTTTTAATCGGATCTTAATCCCGCAAAGTATCTAAGATACTTTTTCTGACGTAAGGTCGAAATCTTTTTGAACAGACCTTTTATGCAGCTATACTTCGCGGAACAGAATTAAAAAGCTTGAATTAAGATCTGAGAGATAACTTTTCCTTATCAATCATTTATCACAATCCTTCCAATAAACATGGCGGAAACGTCGCATGCAAAAGAACAGACATTCCTATCCCAGATGTGCTCCATCCGGAAAAAATATCTTGAAATAAATTTCTTTTTCCTGTTTTTAAAACACTTTGCATGAAAAAATAAATAAAGTGGATGAAAAAGGTGGTATAAATACGTTTCAAACGCATGTTATTGATTTTACTTGTTTGATTAAAAAATTACAGTTAAGAATATTTTGAGCGCCAGAGTAAAATTTTCCTTTCTTTCAAAGCAGTTTCCTTTCTTTCTTTCTAGATGAGGGATCTTCGTCACGACAATCTCAACCCATTCGTCGGAGCATGCGTTGAACCCCCCAACATCATCATCATTACCGAATATTGTTCCAGAGGAAGCCTCAGAGTTAGTTTTAAATTCCATTATGTATTTATTGACAAATGTTGATCCAGATAAAGCATCAAAATTATTTATAATACCATTTCTTTAAGCATTGCTTCTGAATGGTATTCACTGTTAACATTTTATTTAAGTTTTAGCAGTATTTTATTATTGTTGTTACGTGTGTAATATTTATTCAGGTACAGATAAATACTTCAGGAGTTGCAACTTTATCACCATTGCCAAATTTCATTCTAAGTTTTTTTAGTATTAAATTTACTCACGCTCTCCATCATTTCAAAATAATATGCTTACTAATATTCAATATTCCAGAAAATATAATTTTGTTTAATTTTTCACGTTTTCCTTCCAATTTGATTTTATTATGATCAATGAAAAATATAACATTCCTCATTCAATTGTTAATGAAATAACTCAATTTTTTACATTAAAAAGCCCAAGCGAAATTCGTCTTTTTTAGTTAAATATTAAAGCCTTAATTAATATAATTCTAAAAAATTCAAAGCAACTAAAAACAAATAATAGTGAGTGAAAATAATCATATCCATATAAATACTAAATGGAGTGTGACTTAAAAATTTTATAAAAATATTTTTTTAATTTATAGTAGCAATTCATTCAAAAACTATAGATTGTTTCGTATCATATTTATTAGAATTGCCATCATGATTTACTGTGTAAGTAGATATGGATTTTAAAAGAAAAAAATATGTAATAAATCAAAAATTAGAAATATTTTTATACTCGAACTTTATTTCTAAATCATTTAGATGAGAACTATCCATATAAATATTTTAGAATTAATAATACTTAAATTGACTGAGTCAGGAGAAAAAATAAATATGACTGTATGCAGGAAAAAAAACTAAAAGTTAACAAAAACTTTTATCAAAAATTTAAGTTACAAATTAAATCGAAATTCAAAAGACAGTGATTATAACTAATACTTTATGCCGAATGGGTGGCGTAGTGGGTTTGTCGCTGGCCTTCTGTACCCAAGGATGCGGGTTCGATCCCGGCCCAAGTCGGTGGATTTTCATGATGCTGAAAATCGACAGCGGCTGCTTTGAATGATTATGCGGGGTGTAAAAAAAAACCTTGATGTGCCCGTTTGGCTTGGGTGCACTCGGCAAAATTAAATTTCCAAGTTCAGTTTCGCATCGTCAGAGCTCAGGTTCTTCCATCTGGGGAGGAAACTGGGCGTCAAAATTACTTTTGGCAATCGGTGTCGCACTAAAAAGTGATACAGGCTCCTGGGGAATGAACTAGGTCTGCAAAGGTAAAGAATACCAAAACGCAGCTCCATTAGAGAAAAAAAAATATTTTGTAAGAATTTGCTAAGAAAATTCAATACTGTTCCATTTTTCACTCATTAAATATATGTTGTATTTAATGCAAATATACAATGTATATCTGATTGAATTTTTAGAAGATTTCTTTAAAAGTTCTTCAAATTCTACTTCAAATTCACATTTCAAATTGATTCTTCAGTTTATATCTATCTCACATGTTTGTTCGTTTTAAACATTTTGGTTAAACACGAAACTATTTATTTAAACAAATTAATTAAAAATATTGTTACGTAGATCGAGGTTCGAGGATTTTATGCAAAATCAGTCGTAAATAACAAGGCAATTCCTTAAGAGCGATGAGTATTTATTGGCGTAAATCAATCCTTGAAAATACAGGATTCAACAGCAAAATTCGCAAAATAATTAACAGAAGGATTTCACACCTTCAACAGCACTCAGACACAATAAGCAGTGTCTAAAATACACGTATGTAAATGACTATTCACAAGCACAGCCGAGCTGATCAAGTTCAAGGCAAGTCTACTAACCGCTAATCAAAACAATGCTCACTACTCGCTGGTTGAAATCAGACTCGCTACTCCCTGGCTGAAACCAGACTGACTCTTGCGGCGAGTATCACTCTATTTATAGCAGAGGCCGAAAGTTCCGGAAAGATGCGCTCGCGCCACAGATCGTGCAATTAGTGGATTTCTCTACTAATTTCTAGAAGAATCCAGAGGGTCCCGAACTCGCCAATGTCGCCAAAGTCACCAAATTGGTCGCCAAAAATGATGCCAACTTGGCTCTATCGCCAATATTTCGCCGTTCCCATTGAATCGCCATTATAACGTAAGGGACGGCGTTGCTTGTGAATATTACAATTTTATCATGAAATAAATATAGCATAGAGTAATATAAAGGCATTGCACATCCAAATACAAATTATTTACATTATTTTATACAAAATTCGTAACATTGCCCCCTCCTCAAAGACTGCACGTCCCGGGCAGTACAATCCCTGAGTAAGAGACATCTATTTACAGACATAACCTATTCACATAATAATCGAATATAAAGTAACAAATACTCAACAGCAA